AGAAGAAATAGCTGTTTTAGGCAATGCAGAAACTCCAGTACGTTTTGAAGCCATTCTGCCAAATTATTTTTAAAACTCACAACAGCAAGTATAAACTTAAAAAAGCTTGACTTAAGAAAAATTCTTTAAAGTCCTTTAAAATGCATCATTCCACAACCGGAAAGAAAGTGAAAGTTTTCCTTTTGTTAGAAAGAAGCAGCGCTTCCGCGGCCATTTTCTTCTCACTTTCACTTATAGCAAGTAACAAAAATCCCAATAAAATCTTTGAGTTAAAGTCACATTTTAACTAAAGAAAAAGAAATCCCCTGTCAGGTTCCGTCTGTTCAAAAGTTACTCACAAGCAGATACAAAGTAACAGCAGTGGCGGCGACGTCTAGCTTCGCTCCAAGGAGCGAAGGCACTCCGAGCTGCGGAGAAGAGGTCCAGACTCCAGGGGAGTTCTCACCTTCATCCCCCCAGGATCACTCCTGGGGGGACTAGGGAACTCAACCCCTATCCAGACCAAACTCACTTTCTCCCCTTCACCTGGGGAGAAAGTTCCGAGCCGCAAAACAGCTGATCCGCGCTGTTTTGACAGCTTTGACGCAGTCCCGGGCAGGAGGCTGAGAAAAAAGCCTCCTTCGGCGAAGCCTCGCCACCGGAAGCCCCTACTCTCCATAACTTTTGTGTAAGCGTTTTGTGTAGGCTCAGTGAGCATCCCAGCTATTGATCAATTTCTGGTTTCTTTGGCTAAAGCCCTAGGACTTCATTGTCTCCTATTTCATGCAAGGGCAAGGAGAGCAGGAAGTATGGAGAATGCCATGTAGCCTTTCCTGTCCTTCCTGAAGGATTTCTGGGCATCGTGATTACTCTTTAATACTTCTAGACACTTCATGGTGTTTTGTACAGAAGACTTTGCTTAGAAAACAATTTTGCTCAATTAACCCCACCAAAGAAGTCTGGTGCAACTTTGACCTTGGAAGAAGACCATCTTGTCTATTTAATGGCCACCAGAAGATTCTCTTTGTGTTCTTGTTTCCACCCGATAACTTGAGGGCCAATGATTATATTCCTAATGATTTGAATTAACATTAGGAAGGTGCTTTGCTGGGCTTAGGATGCCATCTTTGCATCTATTTAAGTATGCAGCTTCAGAGGTCAGTGGCATGTTGCTGATATTATCACTTTTCAACAAAAGAAATCAACAACAAATACTTTAAGGCAAATAGAGAGTTAGCATACTTAGCTCTATCTTCATTGTTATAAAAGGTACTATCCCTCCAAAAAAAGAAAAGAAAAACTGGATCAAAATTCCACTGTTTTCCCTTCAATTATATTATTGTCCTTCCACAGAGAGGCTGACTAAAAATGAAAATAAAAGGCAGCTCACTCAAACACAAGATGCAGCTCAATCAACTAATATCACATGGAGTTATCATTGCAAATCTATTTTGTTAAAAAAGAAAGGAAAGTTAGTGGAATTAAAACTGAAGGAGCATAATCTGGGACTAAGATCAAGGGATACAAAACCTTCTCTTATCTATTTTGTTAGCTTTAGAGAAAAGTAATCACTGCATTTCTTCATTATCCATCCCTTTTCCATCTTATATGTTTTTGCAATGAATTCTGTTCCTAGTCCAAATATGAATGATGTCATGGTCTTATTTTGGTTCATCTCTACAGCGATCAACCTTCCAAATATTTCAGCAATTGTAGTCATATCCGATATTGGAACTATATTAATGATTATAAACCAGAATGCATTCTCAATGAACCCTTGAGAACAGATATTGTTTCACCTCCAGTTTGTGGAAATGAACTTTTGGAGATGGGAGAAGAATGTGACTGTGGCTCTCCTGCAGTAAGTCTTTTTTTTTAATCAACAAAAATATGAAGAATTTTCTCAAAAATGGGAATCCTTGAAAAATCATCTGGCTTTCTGAGTGGTTTGAGCCATCCAAGAGGTTGGTTTGTGAATGGCATAGGTTTGTGTCCTTAATGTACATGCATGTATGAAGGGGTTTCTTGGATTTGGTTAACCAGTTGTAGAGGAATGGAGAACTGGTATCTCACAACCATTTAGGGAAGACTCTGTATTTTTTTTTTTTAAATGGGTGATTGACTACTCCCAAAAAAAAAAAAACCTTCTCTCTTGAAAACTCCTATTTTGTTGACATGGCCACATTATCTGTCCCACTATTTTCTTGAGCTGCTTTTTCCCATAACTGATGATCTTTAATCTATGCTCTGATCCTAATAATATTTTTATAAGAACAGTAATTTAGTGTTCTTTTTATATTGTTAAATACACTTGTAATGGTCTGTGAGAATGTCCTTGAGAGACAAAAGAAGGAGGAAACATCTACTCAATGATCATATAAGAAGTAGATTGGCCTGCAGAAGCAATGGGGCCTGGCAAACATCTCAAGAGGAACACCTTCCACCCATTCTCTTGGTCTGTAAAGATGAGGTGGTAGAAATATACTTTCAGTATTGAAAGATTCTGCTACTGTAACCTTACAATCAAGGTAGTGTTAATACTCATGGTTGGTGCTTCTTCTCTGGACTACCTCAAAAGCTGGCATGATGAGTAGGAAATCCCTCATGAATAAGAAAGGATTGGGGCTGTAGGTTATGTGGGCTTCACAATTAGGAGATGAGGATATTTTTGTTTTATTCTTGTCACATAGGAAAGGTAAGGCTCTTCCACATAGAGATGCCATTATCTTTTGCAATAACAAACAATTAGTGCATTTGCTAGCATGAACCCATAAGAGGGAACACATTGCAGAAATGTTTTTTTCCTTGGCAGTTTCCCTCTTAAAAACAGACCAATAAAAAAAGACCAGGCAGAAAATTCTGACATCATTTGATATGTTTTGGTTTTCAGATTTGTCGATATCCGTGCTGTGATGCTGCAACGTGTAAACTACACTCATGGGTAGAGTGTGAATCTGGAGAGTGTTGTGAGCAATGCAGAGTAAGACTAGAAATGTAATATCTCTTGGCTGTTTACTATGATCAAAACATTTCAACCCTATTTCTATCGTTTCTTCCAGTTTATTTGACCCTTATGAACATATCCATAGAGAGGATAGTTTAACAAAATTTCAGTCTTGTCTCAATCTCAAATGCATTCTTTCGGCATGTTAAATCATGTCTGTGAAAATAATATCAAATAACAAATAATATATTTGTTCTTTGACTGAAATTGCATGAAAACCCAGTTTAAACAAGGATAGGCTATGTTTGAGATTGGTGCCCTAACTCAGCTTCCTAACTTTCTGGAAGGTTCTAAGAGGTCCCTGGTAATGCCGTGACATTTTTCTCTCTGAGCCTTTTAGGATGGAAATAGGTGCAGGAGACTTCTGGAAGTAAAGTTGCCTTTTTTCCCCCTTAAGTTCTCTACCTGCTCTCTAAAGCTCCAAATTCAGGTGTTTTGGTGGCGCATTCTGGAGGTGCTGCAGGACCAATGAAAGAAAGGTGCTAGTTCCTCATTCCTTCTTTCTTTGTGGGATCCTAGTCGACTCTGTAATGAACTTTTTGAGCAGAGTGGCCCAAAACATTTTGTTATTTCCATATTTCCACCACAAGCCTAGTTTCACAGCAGGAGAAAGGAGCCACATATTTTTCAGCACTTGACAGAAAATTCTATGAATGCTTCTTCCCATGTAAAGAAATAAAAATATATCATGAGAAGTTCAGGAATTAAGTTTAGCAATTGTTGTTGCTTTTTCATGGCAGCCCAATTGATATTCACTTTATGGTCAGCAAATAAGACAGACTGGGACTTCTAGGCACCACACACAGTTGTAACAGGGCAAGGATGCCTTGCTTGGTGATGCTCCAGACAGATGAAAAGGAGGTTTTGAAATGTGTTGTGAATCATGGTTTTCCTCTTTGATCTCTGCTGCTGAAGAGTGATAGCTCGGAGTATTTTTGATTCTCACCCACAGTTTAGGACAGCAGGAACAGAATGCCGGGCAAGAAGGAGTGAGTGTGACATTGCTGAAAGCTGCACTGGCCATTCTGACGACTGTCCCACAGATCGCTTCCATAGGAATGGACAACCATGCCTACACAACTTCGGTTACTGCTACAATGGCAATTGCCCCATCATGTATCACCAATGTTATGCTCTCTGGGGGGCAAGTAAGTCAACCTTAGGATTTCAGAATAGTGGTGTTATAAAAGATTAAGACAGTCATTGCCATTAATGAAAGATATTTTCTCCTTTGTATCCATAATAAATCATCATTACATTTCTGTTCTATAACAGAGTTGGAAGGAGCCTTGGAGGTCTTCTAGTCCACCTCCCTGCTCAAGCAGGAAGCCTTATACCATTTCCAATCTCTTCTTTAAAAAATCTCCAGTGTTGTATTGGAGCACACACAACTTCTGGTGTTTTTTTTCCCTGAAAGAATATTTTTTTAAGATTAAAGCCTCCATTCTTTGTAGGCTTTACAGCCCAGAGATGGACTTTGGGGGAAGGATGCTTTTGTGGGTTGTTCATACGTTCCCAAATTGGAGAAAGATCTGAGCCAATCTCAATGAGAGATAACGTAAATTGAACATTTATTGTGTGCTAAGAGTATTCAAACCCATGATTGAAATTTTTCTTACATTTGGCATAATAGTTGAAGAAACATGTTGGGGATGTGATTCGTATCATTGATCACTCATCAATTTAATGCTAGACTATTCACAAAATTTTCAGCATGGTTTTATATTGAAAAAGGAAACTGAAATAAGTTCCTCTTTTTCATATCAGGGTAGATAGTTTTCAGCAAACAGGGAGATTTATCTTGGCCATATATATGCAATGAAGCTTTGCATACAGAAAGTCCTAAACACAGGTTTTGTGTCACTAATTAAAAGAGTCAGAATTAATAGAATAATAGAAGAACAGAGTTGTAAGGAGCCTTGGATGTCTTTTAGTCCAACCTCCTGTTCAAACAGTAGACCCTATACCATTTCCAATCTCTTCTTAAAAACCTCCAGTGTTGGAGCACCCCAACTTCTGAAGACAAGCCATTCCATTGATTAATTGTTCTGTCAGGAAATTTCTCTTTATAATCTAGGTTGGTTCTCTCCTTGATTAGTTTCCATTCACTGGTTGTGTTCTCCCTTCAGGTGCTTTGGAGAATCAGTTGACGTCCTCTTCTTTGTGGTAGCCCCTTAGATATTGGAACACTGATATCATGTCACCCCAAGTCTTTCTTTTCATTAAACTAGATGTACCCAATTTGTGCAACTGTTCTTCATATTTGTTAGCCTCCAGTCCCCTAATCATATTTGCTGCTCTTCTCTGCATTCGTTTTCATATCGTGGCAAACAAAACTGGACCCAATATTCCAAAGCATTATAAAGTGGTACTAACACTTCATGTGATTTTGATTTTATCCCTCTGTTAGTGCAGCCTAATTATAGTGTAAAACGACTCTGCCACTATTGCAAAAGTGTAGCCTAGCACTGTGTTGGCTTTTTTTGCAGTTGCAAAAAAATTGCAGTTGGCTTATATTTAAGTGATTGTTCACTAGGATTCCAATATCCCTCTCACAGTTAGTACTATTGAGCCAGTTATCACCTCTTCTGCACCTTTGCATTTGGTTGTTCTTTCCTAAATGTAGATTTTTCTTTTTTACTTTTTCGCTACTGAATTTAATTTTCTTAGATTGGACTCAATGTTCAAAAGATCCTTCTGGATCTTAAGCCTATCTTCTGGAGTGATTGCTATTCCTGCCATTATGGTGTTCTCTGCAAATTTGATGAGTTTCCCTTCCATCCTCTTGTCTAAATTGTTTATGAAGGGTCAGGTGGCATGTGATGATGATTGAGAATCTGAATTACAAATCAGAACATTAATCGATCAATTGGATTTATGGAGGATGTGATATAGACAATAAATGGACACTTGCTGTATTATTTCTATTGCTTTGAAAATGAAAACTCTCAGTTCAAACAAAGAAGTCATTATTTTGATCAGGTAAATAGCATGAAATGAGGTAACATTCCAAAGAATATTAAAAGCTCAATCCTTTGCAAGTAATCCAACTGTATTCAAAGAGGCTTGTGCCCAGGAATTGACAGGTCTCAAACCAAGAATGACACATGATGGTTATTCCAAGCTGAATTCTTTCTTGTTTCATTCCTATAGTCAAAATCTTGCCAGACTAAGGACTCTACTATCTGCATATACAATACACTCTTTAAACTATTAGGGAGGAGATGTCTTCACCCTCTTTCTCTCACACATGACATCCAGGCAGAGTTGCCTCTTACCCCTCTGGATTTCACCCCCTCCCTTCTGGGAATCCATTTCTTCACTGCATTCCAGCACAGGAATGTATCCATGATAGAGCTGAAGTGGAAAAATGCGGACACAGAGGAAGAAATCTGGATTCAGATTCCCCTACAGCCATTGATTTACCGCATGGTCTTCTGCAAGTTGCATTGTAATGGCTTCAGCTTTGTGTCCATAAAATGGAATAAGCAAGTTTAGTGTAACACTGTACGTGATAGTGAAAGCTTCTTAATGAGGATTAGATAAATAAATAAGTAAGTCAATATTAACTAAATTATTTGGAACTCCTCTGAAATCTCTTAAGCCATTCTTTATCCTGCTGGCATGTTACACATTCAGGTATTTGTCTTGGTTCCTCTCTCCCTCTTACAGATGCAACTGTGTCTCAAGATTCATGTTTTGAGGATAACCGTATTGGCAATTATTATGGCTATTGCAGAAAGGAAAATGGTAGAAAGATTCCATGTGCACCACAGTAAGCAATCTAAATTATTTCCTGCTATGATTATGATCTAAGATAAGGATAATAAGAAATATTTTATGGTCCACATCTGTGGGAATATGACTCTGTCACCCGGCTAAAACAATAGAAATATGAGCCAATTTCTGAATGGCTGATTTTTCTTTGTTTTCCATCTGGAGTTACAAGATGGAGCAAAAGTGGGGTGTAAAAAGAATGCTGTGAGGATAGAAGGTTGTGTGAGAAAGGACAGATAGTCCTTGACTTATAACCTTTCATTTAGCGACTTCAAAAAAGTGACTTACAACTGATTCTTCCACTTCCAACTGTCACAGCCTCCTGTAGTCATGTGATCAACATTTGGGTTCCTGTATTTATGAGGGCTGCAGTGTCCCGAGGTCACATGATCACCATTTTCCATCTTCCCAGCCAGCTTCCAACAAGCAAAGTCAATGGGGGAGGTTGGATTTGCTTAACAACCATGTGATTCACTTAACAATTGTAGTGGTTCACCTAACAGTCATGCCAAAAAGGTTGTAAAATTGGCAAGGGAAATTCTGGACATAGTTGTTGTTGTAAGTCAAGGACTACACTATTATCAGCCTTTCTCATTGGGCTGACCCAGCTTATTTAACCTGCATATTACTGAATAAGCCCTTGTTGGTTGAGTTTACTAATTGCATTTGGTCATAAATCATGATTTAGAAACCACAATGGCTAAATTGGCACAACACATTAAACCCAAACTAAACAGTAAGCCACATTATCTTTTAGTGGTGTGTGTAAATCCGGACTCTGCCTTTAGCTCTTACGCAAACACAAAGACTCTTGTGGCATTGTTTCCTGTTAAAGGAAGGAAAGTTCTTATTTTATACATCCTTAGTTAAATCTTAAATACTTTTTTCTTCCTATTTTTTTTAAAAAAAAGTGAAATGGAATAATAGCCATTTGGGGGGTGTTCCCTCTCCAACGTTTAGTGCAGCTACCCCAACCTTTACATTTCAATTCCCTGTCATCCACTGATCAGAGATTAGGGGAATTTTAGGCTAGAATTTTGAAAAAAACTAAATCTCCTAATTCTGCTTTAGGCATTTTCCAGCTGGATAATAGATGCATTCCTTGCTCTTAAGATGAGAATCCTGACTCAAACTATCCTCACCCCCAAAAGAAAGAAATCACAGTGAGCTAATTGGAGAACTAGAGAACTGTGTTTCTCTATTTTGTTTCAAACCTTGAAACATCTTGTGGGATTTTTCAGTTACATGTTTAAAAAGGCAACCCGGTTCATACGGAGGCTGAACAAACCTCTAGTTCTCCATCTCTAATTAAAAAAAACAAAACACATAAAGAATAACCCAAGATAAACTGATTGTCAGCAGAGTCACATTCTCTGGTCATCTCCCAGTTGGATTACTGCATAGGGCTACCCTTGAAGAGTATTTGGAAAGTGCAACTGGTACGGAACATAGTGGTGTTGATAGTTCTGGAGGGGTCTCACACGTGACACCGCTGTTATATGATGCACAGGTTGCCAGTTTGCTTCCGGGTCAATTCAAGGAGTTGGTCATTATCTTTAAAGGGCAAGGAAACTGGTGGAACTGTTGGGATTAACCTGGTCCAGTCCTTTTGGTGGAAAAGGTCTACTTCATATCCTGTCAGCCAAAGACTTTTTGGCTGGAGAGGTGCAGGAGAAAAGCTTATTCAGCTATCCCCCCCCCCGCTATGTTCTCCTGTCAGAGGTGAGGTCTGCCCCCAGAGTTCAGGCCCCCAGGAACAACTTCAAGCATGGCTCTGCTGCTTGGCGGGGGACCCCAACATGGGCCTGCTACATTAGGGATGGCTGATGGAATAGTGAAGACCCTCATCCCCAGGCTGCCCATCATGTTTCTTAATTTTTACCTTTTATTCTAATTGTAATTGTTTGTGGCACTTTCTAACTTTTTATTATATCGTAAGTCACCCAAAAGTCATTCTATTAGTAAGATGCAGGAAATGGGAAATAAATGAATGAATGAATGAACGAACAAACAAACAAACATTTGCAAATAAGCAAAGGAACAAACCTCGTTCTTATTAATTAGTATGAATTGACTGTTTCTTTTGCAGAGATGTAAAATGTGGCAGGTTATACTGTTCAGATAATTCATTTGGATACAAGATTCCTTGCCGTTTCTTCTATACATCCACAGATGAAAATATTGGGATGGTTGATACTGGAACAAAATGTGCAGATGGAAAGGTTAGTAAAAGATTACCTCCAATCTGTGTGCTCTAAAGTCTGATTCCAAGGGGTGATCATTAAAAAAAAAATTGCAATCCATCAATGCTGAAAGCTGTGAATCTACATAGAAGAAAAAGTATCCATCTAGCCTTCTTTTTGTTGTTGTTATTTTGTTTTTTCTTCAAACAATAGCCACCACAAATGAGGTCAATGTCGCAGGGCTGTTTCTTTCTCCCAAGAACAAAACGCTTGGCCTTCTCAGAGCCTTGTGCTTTTCTCTCGCAGCATCTTCTGGACAGACTGTCAAGAGACAGTCCTTTCTCTGAACTTGTAGGCATCTCCATAGGGAAGGTGGAAGAGAGAAATGAGAAAATCAGGGCAGAGCTGGTTGTGACCTAACAATGAAGCAATCCCAAAGCTTACCTTGAAGGATCAGGAGTCACTTCCCCTTGATTTTTATACTATATAGAACCTGAAAGAGGTTTCAGTTACTCCATTGATAATCTCTTGCTTTGACTTTCAGGTTTGCAGCAACAGGCAGTGTGTTGATGTGAATATAGCCTACTAATCAACCTCTGGCTTCTCTCAGATTTGATTTTGGAGATCCTTCTTCCAAAAGGTTTCACTTCCCTCAAGTCCAAAAACCCATCTGCCTGCATCCTACTAGTAAATCACTCTTAGCTTTCATATGGAATCTAAATTATGCAATATTTCTTTTCCATATTTAATCTGTTTATCTCTTGCTGTAATCAAACCTTTTTCCCGCCACAAAGCTCCATGGGCATGTACAACACCAAGAGCTTATTTGCTGTCAAGAAAAAAAATGGCCATTTTACCGTTTCCCAATTCCAGAGCACATTTAATGCAACAAGTTCTGCCTTTTGAGCTGGTGTATTCGAAGTCAATGCTTCCTCTCCCAAAATTTCATGCTGGCTT